TTGAGGACACTTGAAGAGTGAGGAGAAGGTATACATAGCTGTCTTGGAGAGTAAGAAGAAAATGCTTATCCTCTTATTTGCTTTCTGATTCCTCTACCAGAGTATGTTACTGTCACTGTTGTGAGGTGCCCTTGTGTCAATTTTGATGCATACTGACACCATATCATGTAGAGAATGACACTGTAGGATTTTCTTGGTTAAAGTTTTTATGGGAGTAGATCACCAGATCTTTCTATAATGAAGCCGTTTAGGTGGGTTCGACCCACCAACCTTTTGGTTAGCAGCTGAGAACATAATTTGTACCACCAGGGCCCCTCCACTAGAATATAAACAAGTTTTCTTCTTCTTAAGAGAAGAAACAAGTTTTCTACATCTCTGCATCTCTTCTCTGTAACACCTGCAATGTGCTCAAGATAGGTTGGCTGATGATGAGAAACATAATTTAATCTCAGCAGATTGAAAATTTTCTATGCCCCAGAGTTATAGTCGTTTAAAGCAGAGTAGATTGGATTGAATTTTTTTCTGACCCCATCACACACTCTGAGAATTAGTTTATGTTGATGTTTTTTTGAACATTTTGCATCAATGTTTATATGCTTTGATTCTCCACAGCCCCCCTTAAAAATGGGGTTGAAGGAAAGTCCCACTTAACCAATTGTCTTAGTTTTTGTTTATTTTACTGAAGAAGTCAGACTCAAAAGTGGTTGAAACAGTATACTTTGCTGGGGAAGCAAAGCCTTCTTTTAAAGCACAAAAAAACACCCCAAACAAGTTCTTTAATTTGAGTGAAACTTTGTAAGTCATATTGGTTTTTGGTATAATTATCCATAGATGCTTTGTTTTATGACATTAATAGCCTTTGTTGTCATTGTTTGTTATGTAACACTACGTCGGAACCAACACACAGCTGATCCTCCAACAGATTTTCAGAGGCAGTTAATTGTGTGGGAGGAGGTTCCCCATCCTTCTGCTGCAGAGCAGCTGATGGATTTGAACTGTGTGTTCAGGATTGCAATGCAGCTTCCTGCCACTAGGACACCAGAGCTCCAGTTGAAATAACTAATTACAGTGTTTAGCCAAGCTTTCTATAAACTTTTTTTTTAAAAAATTTTTTAAAGGTGTAGTACATTTTATTTTTTTTTACATAATTTTAGGAAAAAATTGATAAATTAGATTGGTTTTTCATTCATTCATTCATTCATTCATTCATTCATATGTATTTTGGTTTATAACATTGTAATTACAAATTTATTCAACCACTCAACACATTTGAATAATATTAATTATAATAGATTAATGTAATTCTTTAATTGTGGTGTCATGCTTCTAAGAGGGGGATCTCTAAGAGACCTTTTTGTTTTTCACATTGCAAACAGAGACAACTTGTTAGTTATCTCAAGGTAGAGCCTCGGTCAGGAGCCAAGGGAGAATGAGAAGGGAGCATCCCTCGCTCAACTGCGCCACCTTCAGGATCTCTAGCTGGACAATTCCCCTGTTTGACTCTAACCTCTTCTTCTCTCTAACATTCAGGACTGCAGAAAGCTGACCCCGTCCCATCCCTAAAGGCTTAGACTTCTCTTTCCTCTGGCTTAAGCCAGGGCACAGGTACAACATGCCTGTCTCATTGTGAAAATGCTGGTCTTAGAAGCTCAGAGTTGTGTGTCCAGATTCCAGTTCACACTTGTTTTTGATGGCAGCTCCCTCCTCATTCCTTGAACTCTGCTCTATGTAATTAGCGCCTTCAATGAAAAGTTCATTCTGGCATTTGGTTACTCTTTTACTCCAGGTAGATTAATCAAATCCTTCCCCAGGCTTGTTTCTATTAAAACTTCTTATAGTTGCTCTATCTTCTATGGCTCCAAATCTAAGATTCCTCAGGCCATTGATCCACATCATCTCTTTATTCTCTCTGGATCTACTCTTATCCTTGTCTCATCTCTTCTGTCTGAGAAGTGGTCTAAATAAAATCTCAGTCCTTCAGTTGAATCGTCTGCCTGTGTTCCTTTCAGTTCTTATTTTTGAACTCTTGTTTGTTTCCTCTATTCTCAGCATCTTTAGGAAAGTCTCTGTCTCCCCTAAAATCAGTACTTGGAGAGCCTTGTCCAATGCCATTCAGGGTGGCTATTTGTCTTTGTGAGATACCATCTAGGTCTGCCTAAAGTCAATTCTACATCTACCTTTACTCGGTATCTTGACTGCCTTCAGCAGAGTTCTTCAGAAGGATATGAGGATGGCATTGGACCAAATAACTTTTCATCTTGCTATATGTGGGGTCGTTATGAATTGAAATTGATTCACTGACACCCAACAACAATTTTGACCATATCCCACAACATCCTCCAGATTGGTTAAAACTTGCATATTTGTTTATGTGAATACATCTATTTGTACATGCATTAAAAACATGCAGGAAAACCAGTAAGAAACAGCATGTTTTTAAATGCGTGTCATCTGGCAACCTGGAACCCTTTGTGATTATTTTGCTCTCTGTTGTGCTCCTTAGGGTGTTGGCCTCCTTAGGGTGTCTTTTTGCTGTTTAAGTCATCCACCTCACTAAAACTGTAATCTTCCTAAATCATAACCATGCTCATAGCACTATTCTCTTTAATAACTCTCAACTACTCCCCATTACTTAAGTCCTGACCCTGGAGATGTCTGTAATACAGCCTCATCTTACCTTTCCTCAACCATCCACGTCCATTCCTTATATGTACTCTATATTTTGTTATTTCACCAACATTTTTGTATCAACTATTCTATCTTTGCTAATACAGTGCTGAGCTCTCTGGTCAAAATCCTACCACTGTATTTTCCAAATCACCCCTTGATAAAACTTAACCTGACATCCACCTGGTTAAACTTTCTTCCTGCTTTAAGCCTCTTTCATGCTTTGCTTATTTTTATCTCCTTGTGGCTCTTATCTCAGGGCACTCTTTCTAATCCTATCACAGGCTCCTTGAAGAAAAGGACAGTGCGTTTCTCATCTTAGCATTCTGTTCAGGTTTTAGCTAACTGCCTTGTACACCGGAGTTGAATTGGATAGAACGGAGGCGAACAAAGCAAATGAAAGAAACAGTATACAGCGTATTTCAAAGCAATCACAGAACATAAAAAGAGCTGGAAGAAGGACATGCAGGGCAGACAGTAGAGAAAGTGCTATAAGCTGGAGTACGGCACAGTCCTTGTCTCTTTTCACATCAAGTCCTCTGAGTGATTCAGGCATCCTGCTTGTATTTCTCTTCCTGTCTTCCCATTACTTCCCTCCCTACCGGGAAAAATCGAATTACTAGACACTGAAGTCATAGCCTCACGTAGGACTCACCAGAATAATTTTTTTTTCTTTTCTGAATAACTCTATTCACACCAAGTATATGTTTGTTCCCTCACTGCTTCATTACCAATAATCATTTCATACAGTACAAGAAAATGATGTTTTAAGGCAAATAACTGGGTAGTTGGATGCATTTGCTTCATGTGGCCAGGGACGTAATTTCATTAACAAAAGTTCTCCAGCTCAGGACATAAGAAGAGACCGTTTAATGGCCAAATGTTGGTGTTCAGTAAGGGTAAGAGCCAGGTGGTGAGTGGAGCCCCTTGGCCTGAGCCCCATTTGGGGGTCAGGAAATGAGAAAATGATGTGAGGCAATATTCATGCCCAGCTATTCTCTTGCATATGTGGCTATGGCCTCAACTAAGCTGCAGTATTTTTCCATTCTCTTCAAAGGTGAACCCAAGATATTGAGCACACTAGAGATTTTGAAAGTTGATTGCTGTGTCTTTACTCTCAGTAAGTCTTTTCTTGGTCTAAAGAGCTCTTAATGTGAGAGGACCTCCACTGTATACAATGGAGTGGGACATTGCCCAGCCCTGGCCATCCCCATGCTTGTTTTCTGATTAAACTGTTATGATCCATTGGACTTTCACTGATTAATTTTCAGAAGCAGATCACCAGGCTTTTCTTCCAAGCCTATCTTAGTCTGGAAACTCCACTGAAACCTGTTCCATATCATAGTGTAAAAGAAGCAGTGGTAACATGAGGAAGGCTTAATTTGACTTCTGGATAGAAGAAGTTCTGCCTTCATTAAGAAAAACTGTCCCTCGCAATAATATCCATAGTACCAAACAAACACCTACATGGTCAGACATGCCACTCTCCATGCTCCTGCTCCTAGTTCATTGAGTCCAATGCTTGTTGCAGCTTTACTCACAGACTTTACTCACAGTTATAAGGTTTATTAGGGGAAAAGGTTGGGAAATGGAGGAGGAAAAAGAGGAGGCAAAGAATATCAAGTAACACAAATCCAACAGTCCCAGGCCAGATTAACACGGCACAATTCCTCAATTAGTAGAAGTCTAGGTTCACTTGAGCAACACAAATGCACCTCTGGTTTCCTCAGTCACCCAGCAAGCTTTAAAAGAGCAGTTACAAATCAGCTTATGGCTCCATCTCCAAGGTTCTTCTGGCTACACCTTGCTGCTGTCTCTTCACAGCAGTGCCACAGTCTCTTCACCCTCTCTCCACCACCATTTTTTAGCGTTTCTTGTATTGGTCCCACAGCTGTTGATGTCCATGTGTACATAGTTAAGGTAGCTGGAGACCATGCCCCCAACAGGGGCTAGCACAATAAATAGAAAAGCCAATTTTCAAGGTTTCTGACACCACATATAGCAATATGCAGGCTTCCACTGACAAATGAGTAGTAGCTCTAAGTGAGGTACATTGGCCAAGAATTGAATCCACATAGAAGGTAAGAATTCTGCTTCCAAACCTCCACAGCCTCCTTTAATCAGAGACTCTGGCCTTATTGCGTGTGTGTATGGTCACTCTTTTCTCCCCTTTATGTCTATATTAATCATGCTATCAGTGTTTTCCCAGTGTTGCTTTCAAAACCAATATAAATAGTCTATTAAAATGGAAATAAGGACATCTTTTCTCCTTTATAGTGGCAGCTTTCAGGAAGATACTAAGTTTTCATTCTTTCCTTTTCCCTCCCATCTAGGTCTGGTTCAGTGAGAAGATGTTTGAACCATCATTCCATTTTTATACTGGATATAAAATCCCTGTGTGCAAAACCTTGGACCAGTATTTTGAATACATCCAGTCCTTGCCAGCTTTAGATAACCCTGAAGTCTTTGGGCTTCACCCCAATGCTGACATCACGTAAGTTCTTGGATTCTTTTTTTTTTGTTGTTAATTTGAAGAAGCCATTTGTAACTCAGCCTGGCAAACACTGTGCATTTCATTTTCTCTCTTTTTTTGTAATTTTTAAAATTTTAATAATTTTA